CGTCATTTATGTCCGGCCCCTTGCTCGGCGTAATGCAATGGGGCAGTTCCCGGCGGGCTGTCCGATCACCCTCAGTCCCCGCTGCCACTGCCGCCGGTAGTTTGGCTCTCACTTCCACCGCGGGTGTCATCGCTGGCGCCTCCACGTTGTGCTTCCCCTCTCCGTGCCCTCGGCTCTCGTTGTATGTAATACACACAACCCCCGAGCATTTCCGAGCCATTGGGAGGGCAGCGACCGCCCTCATCCAATCCAGCTGGCTGCCTGCATAAATTCCTCGCCACAGTGCCAGACCAATCAGCAGTTGAACATTCACGATGTAACACGATTTTTTTTGTTCCTGAGTACTAAGTGTTATCTTCTAATTGCTTATGCCTCCAAAGAATATATAAAATGGCTATTATTATTCCCCACAAACTTTGCTTTTGTTACCAGGACTTTACGTGAAGGAATGACACAAATGCACACCATGTTTTCTCATTGAAAATAGGTAAATTTCTAAATATCACTGTCCTGGTCGCAAAAGCAAAGTTTGTGGGGAATAATAGCCATTTTATACATTCTTTCGAGGCATAAGCAATTAGAAAATAACACTACCCAGGAACAAAATGTTTTTTTTGTTACACGGTGAAATCAACCCGAATTGACCAATGGCGAGCGAGCGATGAATCGCCTTCCGGTGCGCGACACGAGCCATTCCCCCTCCGCCAATCGCGAGCAAGGCGGCCATCCCTACCGCTCGCCGATTGGTCGTCCGATTTCCCCCCGCCGCGCGCACGAGCGCGCTAAGCCAATCGCAGCCCGGCCACAGCCGATTGGCTGCCGCGCGTGCATCCGATCGCCCGGCGGTCTTCAACCGCGCGGCTTTCGAAAGGGCCGCCGCTTTGTGAGACGTCGTTGATGGAAGGGGCCACCGCGTCTCGTGTTCGCCTCATTTGCATTGCGGCTCCAGAGTTGTTTTTTTTTTACCTAATTCGAAAAAAATGCCTCGTTATTATTTTGGTTTTTCCGACCCCTGCGGTATAGCCAGTCGTCCCAGTGCCAGTCGAGAAGGCCTCTCCACACCGTTGGGAGTACGCATGCAACGCGGGACTTCTTTCGCACTGCGTCTGAAGCCAAACTTTGCCTAATCGGCGCGCGCGAGCACCGTTAGTTACACTCGGGACACGGCGCGCGCCACCGACTCTTCTCTCCGCGCCGTTCGGGACGACGCGAGCAGATGTACGCGGCCGGGCGCCTGCTGTTCGCCGACCTCCTGCTGGACGGCTACGGCCTGACCCGGCGCGACCTACGACGCCAGATCGCTCGCTCCCGCGGAGACTTCCTCTTGGGCCGCTTCCTCCCCCGCGACTTCCGATTCAGGTGCGGCGCCGACGGAGGCGAGCAGGGTGCCCCCCCCCCCCCGCCAACTCTGCCATGGGGCCCGCCAGCGAGCGATCGAAGCCGCCCCTTGGGGTTTTGCCGGGCACTGAAGGGATTGTGACTCGGTGGTGTTCCTGTGAAACGTAGCGAGATTTGTAAGAAATTCTAGGAATAATTTAGAGGCCGAAAGGGCTGAACGTTGGCATTATACTATTATTACAGGATGCTATTTATGTACCGTCACAAAGGATATCGAGACCTTCTCTCGTTTAAAAATAAAACCTACAATTGCTTGACACAAGTGGCGCTATGGGCAGACTGTTAATTTTTCCATAGGATTTTCCATCACTGGCTCAGTTCCGGCAACCGAGTTCCACCAAGCGCTCGCCTAAGCACCGTGACACAAGCGAGCAAGTCCGTAAATAAACGGTGCCGTTGCCGAGGTGCAGATGGTGAAGAACACGGATCAAGCCGCCATGAAACTACACGACGCACACTTTCTCCAGTGCGGATTAAGCGAGTGCGGGGCCTGTAGCATATTTAACAAATTAACAAACAAAAAACACGTAAATATTAAAACACAAATTTTTACTTGCATAGTAAAGTAATTGTATTTTTTTCATTTGCTATACAGCCAGATAATACGACAAATCGCGAACCTTAAACACCCAGTCGTTCGTAAAAGTTGAAGGCGGTATAGTGCTATAGTAATAGAGCAAGTGCAGAATCACTGAACCGGAATTGATAGCTTGACAGCATTTAGCGCGGGGCCCTTGAAAGTGTGGGGGCCGGAGCTACATACGTAGCTACTCGTGCTACTGGGATAATCCGGCACTGACTCTCTCTCTCCTCCCTGTGCCGCTCACAGCCCTAGGCCGGGCCCCGGCACCTCGAGCTCTCGGGTCGGTGGCATCGGTGCGAGCGGTGCGGACGATGGCTCAAGCGCCTCCGAGGCGTCCGAGCAGGGAGGGTGGCGCACGGAGCGTGGCGAGCTGGCACCGCCGACACCTTTCACCGGCGGCGCCAGCACCGCCGCAGCGGTGGTGTCTGGCACCGTGAGACAGTCGGACAGACCGAGGCTGCTGGGCGTGTGACAAAGCTCAGAGACGTTGCTCGGAGACGCCGACAACTGCCGGCGAGCGGAACGGTGACATCCAACCCGCGGTGTTGTTAGCGAGCCGTCGTGCGAAGGGCGACGATGACGACGCGGGAATGCGTAAGGCGGGCGCTCATTAACAGAGTGTGATCTCGGCCAGCTGGTTTGTACTCGTGCACGTTGAGCTTCTGTCGCAACGTACGTAGCCAACCGCGCTAATCGGAGGTGTCGGTTCGGGATGTCTCCCACGTTGTCACCCTGCGGTGCATGCCTGGCCTGTTGTTACACGGCGGACAAAAGCGGTTCACGAAGGAGCCTGCTGAAGGGACTTTCGGGAGCGGTTCGAGAAGTTCATTTTTCAGGGCTATTGCTCCGACACGGGGTGGTGCGAGGATGTTCGAATAAAAGTGCTAAAAATGTGGCTTTTTCAGAGAGTGATTCAGGGGTGAGAGCGCTGAGTTAGTGACGCAGTGATTATGGGTTCAGAATGGAGCTTCGGTAGCCTGGGTTTGCAAGTTTAGTGGCTCCATGGCCTCAGCCTGGTCACCGATGACTTGCATAGAGATCCACTCACATAGAGAGCCATCTACTCCAATCGACTAAGTCATGATGAAACTAGATTCTCAAGTCTCGTGAGCTGAAGGGCCTCCACCCCATTCACCAATGACTGCACACAGTCAACACATTAAACTCGTTTGTCATTTAAATTTGTTTAAATACTGCCACCTGATGAACCATGAGCATCTGTAGCAGGCCAGGTGGGAAGGAAAGTGCAGCACTCCTTCGTGACGAATAAATAAGGTGATTTTGAAGGGGATCTCAGAAGTAGTTACGAGATATCTGCTTCCGTGGGCTGTTCTTTAAGATGGGCTGAAGCAATGCCCTATGAGAGTTCCGGACGGACACCGTCTCGTGGCGTGACGCCAACTCGCAGCAACTGGAGTGAAATCGGAGACGGATAATTTCAAACGAGACTGAGGCCCACTGGATCACACGGCAGAGCCGCGTGACGCTCATCAGTGTGAAGTTGGTGGCAAAGGAGTACTCAGGTGCACTTGGGTGCTGTGGCGTGGACCATCGCAGCCGGCCAATAGAAGCTAACGGCGCGGGTCACACGCGAAATAATCTCACGTGCGTTCAAATCGAGACGGTACGCACCAGGCGAAGAGCTCGACGTTAGTTCGATCGAAATAAGAAACGCTTTAAATCTTGACTTAAAGCTTTCGTGACTGCAGGAATTCATATTCGTGGGTCTTTCGGCAAAGTCACGTAGATAGGTTCAAAGAAAATTATTTTAAAAAAATAACAGAAAACTACGACGTTTCAATCGCAACGCAAAGCGGTCGTCTTCAGGAAAAGTCTGTTATTTTTTTTATTATTCTCTTCGAACCTATCTACGTGACTTTACCAAAAGACCCAAGAATAAGAAACGCTTTTATTCGTGATTGCGGCAAAAACCGTGCGTGCGTGCGTGCGCGCGCGCGAGTTTCGTTCGCGGCGCTGTTGCTGCCGCGCGGTGTTCAGCGCGCAAACGACCGGGCGGGGCCCCCCTCGCGCTCTTCACAAACGGGAGACGCCACAAAAGGTCGACGCCACAAAAGGTCGACGCCACAAAAGGTCGACGCCACAAAAGGTCGACGCGCTTCGCGACAGCGGGTCCGGCTCGTCATCGCCGCCGTCGTCGTCGCGGCAGTGAGCTTTGGAGAGTTGGGTGCAGCAACACGAGCATTCAACAACACTGGCAGTCGACTCGCGCGTGCGACTTACGGGGGGGGGGGCGGTGTCCTGGGGAGACAAAAAAAACACGTGATGTCCCGTGCAAACGTTATCACGACAAGCCCACGCTAGCTTCATTGGGACACGATACAATCCACAACGCAAGCTTCCGTCAATCTTCCTTCATACACTTAATCTGCTCCCCCGCCCCCGCCCAAGTAGGTATGTAAAACTAAACAAAACTATTTTTATATTACTAGGTAAGGCCCCACTGAGCTACGTAGTTCTTTTTCAGAAGCGACCTGGCCGTCACAAATGATAGCGCAACGTCGCGGTACTCGAATTGTTAATGTTGTAGCGGGTTTACTACACTACACTATACACTACACTATACACTACACTACTATACACTACTATACACTACACTATACACTACTACACTATACACTACTACACTATACACTACTACACTATACACTACTACACTATACACTACTACACTATACACTACACTACTACACTATACACTACTATACACTACACTATACACTACTACACACTACTACACTATACACTACTACACTATACACTACTACACACTACACTACTACACTATACACTACTACACTACACTATACACTACACTATACACTACACTATACACTACTACACTAGACACTACTACACTAGACACTACTACACTAGACACTACACTATACACTAGACACTACTACACTAGACACTACTACACTATACACTGCTACACTATACACTACTACACTATAAACTACTAAACTATACACTACACTAGACACTACACTATACACTACTACACTATACACCACTACACTAGACACTACACTATAAATGTTGTAGTGGGTTTACTCTCCAACATACAACCGGTGTGCTGAACTAGTTACAAATTGGCACGTTTTGTTGATGTGACAAACCTTCCTGACTGTGGCGGGTTTAGACATCTAAATTTACACGATCTAACCCAAAAACCTCTATTATGGACCACAGGCATCAAAGGGGACAAGTCTTTAACATAACCTGAACCTTTTAAGATATATTTTATTTAAATGCCTAGTTTGTAAGTGAAGGTGAGGTGTGTATGCAGTCCTGCCAATGTTGAATTTTGAACTGTCCAAACCAGCGGTCACTTCAAGAGTGGAGGACCGTAGCCCCAGTGACACGTGTCAGTCTGTGGCCTTGTCTTATCTGCCTCGCCTGGTACGCAGGAGGTTCGTGGGTTCGATCCCGGACCCTGACGATGCCTCTTGATGTATATTTGGAGTCCGCGTGCTCCGTCTCTCCCCGTGTGGTCGCGTGGATTTTTCTCCACATTTAGAATCGACGTCACGTGTCGTTTAGACAATGATACAAGCCGCTTCGATGTTGAGCTATCATCACGTGTGGCCAGGTGGCCTCTGAAAAAAGAGCCAATAGCTTAGAGTGCTTTACCTGGAAAATAATAAAATATTTAAAGTTTAGTTTAAAAGGCAAACTCCTGGAGGTGATTTTTTTGTAAACGTTAAAACACAATCGCCACTTCACAGCAACACAACCACCTCACACACTGCATGTCACTCTTGAGATTCGCGATCATCATCGGCGTCATCGTCATCGTCGTCATCATCATCACCGTCGTCACCAAAGGTCTGCTCCTGCAGGGACAGGAGCCCTCGCGAGAGGGTAGCCGCTTGCGTCGCCACCATCGACGTCAGGTGGACGGAGCGTGGGTCCCTCGTGGCGCCGTGCCAACCGCCGAGCTGTGCCGCTGCCAGCCTCTCGCGCAGCGAGGCTTGCGGGGGGCCGTGGGGGGCGCCACGCCCGCCGTCGTCGTTCCTCCCCGCGGTCTCCTCCCCCCCTTCTCCTTCAACGCCAGCAGCGCGGTCTCCATTGGATTCGTCAGCGTCAGCGTCACTGTCGTCGTAATCGCGACTAGCAGAAGTGTTTCCGTTGGCATCATCGTCCTCACCATCATCATCACCGCCACCAAGAGCAGCAGCTTCTGTCATGGCAACATCGCTGCCAGCCGCGAGCTCCCTCTGAGGTTCACTGCTGCTAGCAGTTGACTCTCTTTTAGCTTCGTCATCATCATCATCATCACAACCGCCAGCCGAATATACGTTCGCTTCCCTAGCACCAGCAGCAGATGAAGTGGCTTCATCGCCACTGGCAGCAGAGGCAGCAGAGGCAGCAGCAGCAGCAGCGTCCCCTACGCCGATACCCCTTGCACCGGGGCCGCCGTCGTCTTCGCAATTGTCGCCCACATCGTCTCGGGAGGAAGTTACCCCGTTTCTCCTCTCCCCATCGTCGTCGTCGTCGTCACGGCTGTGATCGTCGACGGCGGGGCTCCTGGCCGCCGTCTCGCCGGAGTCGCCCAGCGCCGGGGTCGTGGCCTCCGCCGAGCTCGAGGGCCGCGCTTGCAGCGACGTTTCCCGCGGCGCTGGAAGGGGGGAAAAAAAGAAATAAAAGTGGAAAGAAGCCGTTTGCCTCGCGTGTTTTTTAGTCACGTCACATGGCTGGGTTGTTCTTGCAATCGTCGTCATCGTCGTCGGCCAGCTGGATCAAGGCCTTCCCCCCCCCCCCCCCCCCCATGCCGCCGCCGCCACCATCTCTCACGGTCTTACTGCGCGACAATCCGTCTCGCTCCTGCGTGCGAAACGATTTCGTCGCTCGGAGTGGTTGAGCCTAAGCGAGCGTTCGGGTGAGACACGACGAAGACGAGGCGGGAGGGAACGGCAGGTGTGGGGAGGCTTGGGCTGCGAAGTGGCCAGGTGAAGGCAGTAGAATTAATGGGATTCCTGAACCCATCTGTGTGGGGCTTTGTTATTCTCGCATCGTATGATTATGTTTTTTTCTCCAGTTCCCCCTCCCACATTCCCGATCGTTCATGGGAACGGCCAAAATATGGCAACGCGGCAGCCCTCCCCCCCTGCACGGGGCTCGTGGAATCTGAATCCGCGAACCCGCTTGCTGTACTGCCATTTCCTGGGCACCGCCGTGCGTCCCGGCGGGTTTGAGACTTTCACACATCTCAACGTCATCCATCAACGCTCGCCTCCATATGGGCGTGCGCCACCACCATCACCACTAACATCACCACTTCCACCGCCGCCACCACCACCACCATCGCCACCGCCGCCATCACCACCACTGCCGTTACCACTACTGCCGCCATCACCACCACTGCCGCTACCACTACTGCCGCCACCATCGCCGCCATCACCACCACCACCACTACTGCCGCCACCACCGCCGCCCCGCTCTTCATATAACAAACTGCGTACACAATCCCCGGAACCCCTCTTGACCTCTCGACCCGTACATACGTTGAACTTCTTTCTCACCATACGTAGCCAAACGTGCTAATCGGAGGTGCGCGGGGGGGGGGGCGGGGGGGGTGGAAGGACAACAAACGAGACGCGTAAAAATCAGTTCTGAAGAAGTGAGTTTTACAAAGGAGATTTAAAAGCGCCCGTAGAGCTCCTCGTGGCTTCCTAACATCGGAAGGAAGAGAGCGCGTTCCAGACGGGTCGCAGGGCGGAGGGGGGGGGGGGCCAGGGTTCCGTCACCTGCCGCGGGGAAGAGGGCGCTCCTCCAGACGGCGCGCTGCTCCAGCGACGTGCGCACCCCCAGGACGCTCTTCAGCTCGTCCAGCAGGCGGCGCGCCTCCTCGCGCTCCCGCCGCGCCTCCTCGAGACGCCGCCGCAGGCGCTCCCGCTCCTCGGGGTCCGGCGATCGCCGCTCGCCACGGGGGTCGCCGCTCCCCGGCGGCGGGGGGCCGTCCTCGGGGTCCCCCGCGAAGGACTCAAACTCCTGCGGTGGGGGGGGGGGGGGGGGCGGCAACGGCACCGTGGCTCGACGTTGTCACTGCCGTTAGGGATGACGTCAGCAGCGGTAGTATTAACGGCAGTGGCAGCAGCAACATCAGCAGCAGTAGCAGCAGCAGCATCAACAGGGGCGGCAGCAACAGCAGTTGCAGCAGCAGCAAAATCCGTAGTAGCAAGCAGCAGCAACAGCAGCAGTGGCCGCATCAACAGTGGCAGCAGCAACAGCAGCAGCAGCAACATCAGCAGTTGCAACGACAGCAGTAGCAGCAACATCAGCAGCAGATCACCAGTAGCAGCAACATCAGCAGCAGCATCAGCAGCAACATCAGCTACAACATCAGCAGTAGCAACAGCAGCAACATCAGCAGTAGTTGGTGGTGGCATCAACAGTGGCAGCAGCAACAGCAGTATCAGCGACGGAAATGGCATCAGCACACAACGTGTTATCACCATGACACGGTTCTTCCATTATGGATAAAGCGGTAACCCCGTTGTGTGAGCGAGTGCGTGGGCACCAAGCGAGTACGTGGGCACCAAGCGAGTACGTGGGCACCACACGAGTGCTTGTGTCCTGTGTGAGTGTGGAGTGGTCGTGCAGTGAGAGCGTGCTGCGCTACGAACCCGGTGACCCGAGTTGGATTCCCACTCACGAACAACACCAGGGACTAGGAATAGGTTTTACCCTTTTAACTGGCACAAAAACTGACACCTTTATTCAAGGCATCATGTTTGCAATAACCACAACACAAGCAGTCAAAATGCAAACAAAAAAGACAACTCTGATAATAATATGCACTGTCCTTGAATTTGATTGGTCCACCTCCGAGACGGCTTTTCTTAGAGCCTAGTCTCCATTGGTGTTGGACCAGAAGACGCCAAAAGGCGTACAACTCAAAAACAGCGCACTATCAGAGTATTGAGGGCTCGGGGTGAGCATTTATATTATGGGACCTCCTTTGCCAGTAACAAGATATAGGAATAGGTTTTACCCTTTTAACTGGCACAAAAACTGACACCTTTATTCAAGGCATCATGTTTGCAATAACCACAACACAAGCAGTCCTGGGTCCCCTCCGAGGTCGATTTAGCCTCAAATGAGTACCACTAGGAAGACAAAGCCGGCCGGGCGTTGTCCTGGCCACCCACCCCATCGTGTGCCGCGCCGGCCTTCACAGCGCTCGCCCCAACGGTCCGTTAAGACTATAGGGGAGGGATCTTTGTCTTGTACCGCGCAACTACCTGCTCCTCCGGGATGGGGTCGCGATCGTCGATGATCACCAACGCAGGCCGATCCTCGCCGGCGCTGCGCGGGGGTTCCGCTCTGCCCGGCACGTCGGCTGCGCGCGACATGGCGGAACGGGAGGGGGGGAGGGGCAACGTGACGCGGGCGGAGAGAGCGCTGGCGCCGAGCGAAGGCGCGACGACGCGAGTAGCGAACGGCCCTTGCCTTGCGAGTGTTCGCAGTACCCAGTTGGGTGCGCGATGATGATGATGATGATGCATCGATTCATCGACTAACAACGATTCGTACAGTTAGATGGCTCAGGGGTCAGAGGTCAGAGTGCCGAGCCGGCACCGCCATTGGATAGCGGTGTCTTGGTTGAGGAGGCCTTCATCTAGCAGTGGATAGATCACGGCTGATGATGAAAGCTTATCAGGCAGCGGCAATGGCGTTCGTTGACCAGGGATAAATCTCTGCCCTGTGGTTTTTTTTCTCCCTCCCTTTATCCTGTGATGCCTCTCGCACACAGACGCTGTCAAATCCCACGGGCGGTAAAATTCTGTGAAATTTAAAAAGTTCTACTCAACGCAGTGGCCGGATCGTTCAGAGGCCAGTCACGGTGCTGACCTTGGTACTGCTGCAGATCTTAGGTTGGACTCCAGGTTACAGCCACCTCCGATTCAACTGGGTTCTCAATAAACTCAACTATTAAACTAACGTTTTATTTTACCAGGTAAGGACCACTGAGCGACGTAGCTCTTTTTCAGAAGTGGCCTGGCCACAAATTATAGCTCAACGAAGTGGCTTATCACGTGGAAATTTGCAGCAGCTGAATACTCGGAATGCACGCTGATTCTAAATGTGGAGGGAAAAAACCGGAGGGCATGGAGAAAAGTCCACGATACCACGGGGAAAATATTAAAACTGCAAACATATGGGCATCGGGGTTACGATTGAACTAACCACCTCCTGCATACCAGGCGAGGCAGATAACATCTCGCCACCACGGCGCCCCAGGTTTTAGTCTCCCGTGTTTAAAGCTGGGTACTCAAATGTAGTGAGTTGAATGTCTCACAAAATAACCACAATCTGAAAATTCGGCTAATTTCCAGCTGTGAAATTTTTTGTTTTTTAAATTGCAGTTTGAATGTCATGGGAGGGATATCGTTCTCTGTGCCAGGCCGGGTGGGATCTCGCATGTAGTTGCGCGATATCCACTTCAACCGACTTGTTCCGAATGATTCCTTTGTCTCGTGATGCAACACGCACAGCGCAGTCAGGACCAAGCGCGCGAAAAGGACAATAAAAAAAAACGGCGGATTTGACCACCGTCGCGCGACGAACGCTCCGCCTCTCGCTCCGCTCTCACCGGCCGCGCCGTCGCGATCGCCGCGGCGCCGCAGGGCCCTGGAGCGGGTGACGGTCTCGTCCCAGCAGGCCCTGGCGGCCTCCATCCTCGGCCCGAGCGAACTCAGCAGCTCGGCCGCCGCCTCAGCCGCCGCGGCCGTCTCCGCCTCGGAGTCGCCAACGCCGCCGCCACTTCCGTCGGCGGCGGCGGTGGAGGCGTCGAGGCCCGGCTCCAAGAGACGTTCCAGCTCGTCCTCCAGAGAGAGGGAGCTGTGGGGGTGGTGGGTGGGGCAGTGACAACGCTACGACGTCACGTTATCTGCGCGCTGTTATGAACGACGTTTTCCTACTTAAGACGCTTTACTCAGGGGGTTTAATCTCTCACTCGACACTTTCCGGAATGTTGCTCGGCCCCGCTTGGAAGGAGCGAGTGTCGGCGGAGGACACGACCCGCTAGTGTAGCGGGGCGCCACGGTGGCAAGATGTTAATTCCCTCGCCTGGTGTACAGGAGGTCGTGGGTTGGATCCCAACACTGACGCCTGCTGTATATTTGGAGTTTGAATCTCTCTCTCCTCGTAGGTGCGTGGATCTTTCTCTGGTGTCCTCCGGTTTTTCCCTCCATATTTGCAATCAACGTCATGCGTTTAGAGTATTTGGCCGCTATAAATTACCACATTCTAAGCTCAGTGTAGAGTACACAGTAATGCCTTTCCATAATAATCCTACATCACTATATCATATATTGGCAGCAGTCTGTGAACAGCTTTATAAAAATATAGGGTACAGTGAGGACAAAATAGAGCGAGATGGATGCGGCGTGCCAAAATAATTCTCAGAACAGCGCTCCGGACGCTTCCGGCGTTTTACAGCCGAGCCTGAAATCGCGCGTTAGCTCTGTCCATGTGCGTTACAACGGGAGAGGTCACGATAACTCTCGTCAAGATGAACCAAAGACGAACGAAGCTTCAGGTGGAAAGAAGTTGGGTTGCTCCCGTAGGTCACGACAACTCTCGACAAGACGAAGGAAGCTTCAGGCATACAAATTTTAGTTGCTCTAGGCGACTTACCCGCCGCGACTGGCACGCGGGGGACACGCCGATCAAAGGTCCACGACTAGCCCGCGACCTGCGAGGAGATCCGAGCGACCGTTCCAACGCCAACTCACTCCTGCAGCGCCATCTTCAGGTGCAGCTGGAGACTCCGCACGGCCGCGTGCAGCCTCCAAAGCTCCGAGCGCGGCCCCCTGCCGGACCCCCTCGGGTCGCCGGGGGCCCCCGCCGCCGACTCCGCCGCCGAGCGTGGGCGCTCGCCGCCTTCCGCCGCCCGCCCCCCGCACCCGACGCGGTGCAGCTCGAAGCTGCGGCCCAGCCGGCGGAGACTGTCGGAGACGCGCGGGGACGCGGCCGAGACGAACGCGTGCTCCGGGGTCGAGCGGCGGTTGCGTGGGCCTAGAAGGGGGGAGTGGGGGGGCAGTCGACAAATAGGGCACGGCGGCGGGGGTCGCGGACGACACGCAGGGGGAGGGATCAGAGAGGGTTCGCGATGGGAGCGTAGAATGATTACCGTTCAACAATCCACTGCTGGACGTGGGTTTCGTGGGAATTAAATGACGGCACATCGGCACGCTGGTCAGTGCCGGTTGGTAGCGTAGCACATCGCAACGATTGCTTTTGCTGCACCGCCCTCTGCCGACAAAAGTACGATACAACCCGGCCGAGAAAAACCACAGCGGCTGCTCCCTGACCCTAACTTCAATCCCAACTCCTCCACCTCCTCCCTTCGCCACCGCCACTAACACCTCACGCCCCCATCGCCGTGACCTCCGCCCTGTGACCCCCCCCCCCCCCCACCTTGCTCGTGGTCGCGCGGGGCAGCGTACAACGCCAGCACGAGGCGGCGTAAGAATTCCGAACTCTGCCCGACCCACAGCTGGTAGAGCACCTGTGGGGAAAGGGGGCGTAGGGACGGGCAGACAGACAGACGGGCAAGCAGGGAGACAGGGGCTAGAACTAACGAAGGCTGGTAGGCAGAGCAGGGGGCATGGCCACGCTGTGGAATTTGGAAGTGGCCTTCCAAACAATTATTCCCAGCGGCTTGTGGCTCGATTACAGACGTGCAGTGACCGGTGACGTTACGAATGCTCGCAGATCTCTACGAGAGCGAACGGAGGTCGCTGGAGCCAACAGATCTCTATTAAGGGGTGCAGCCACACCGTGAAAGTTGGGGCTGTCCCACTCAGCGAATTGTTCCCGGCGGTTAGTGGGTAGATTACAGACGGGATCCGAGAAATTCACACCACCCCCCCCCGCCCAACGTTGTCACGGATAAGCGTAGTTCGACTGCGCTGTAATTAGATTAAATCTCCGTAACTGCCAGCTAACTGACTCGTGCTTGATTGTGAACTTAAAGGTTCCGTTCACTCAGCGCAGCCGGCAACGAATGGACACCTGCGATAAAAGAGCTTTACAGCTCATCGGATTCCTCCAGCATGAATAAATCTGAATTCTGATTCTCTGATCTACGTGGCCGTATAGAAGGGAAGGAGACGCAACACTCGAACACGCCCATCACCGTTGTCCCAAAACGTACGGGGGGAACATTTCTCAGCCGCATCTAAAATCGAAACACTTGGGAAGGTGCGGACAACCCACGACGCCAAGTGGCTGCACCCCGATTACAGAGGCGTCTCCGGCACTCTCCAAGCGCCATCCCCTGGGCACTCCATCCCCGATCCCCCACTGGCACCTCACGTTCTTATTTCGGCCTCTTGTGAACAGCTGTGAAAACAGCGCGCTCGCGACGCCGTGGGCTGGCCGCGGATGCCAATGAAAACAGTGGCGGCCGCTCCCCGGGCCCCAACCTCCCCCCGCCCCCCACACGCATCCTCCCCCGCCACCCTCGCCCCCCGGCATTTTTGCCCGACGTCCACGCTTTTGGCGCGTAATCGCGAGCGGTGTACGCAGCTCATCCTGACAGCAGCTCGTCGCTAAATGACGACGGCCGCCCTGTTCGTCCGTTTTGTCCGTCGTCATTTCGGACCGGCTTTAGTCGCGGCAGGTGGCGGCGGCGGCGGCGGTGGCGTGCTTAGCCCCTCCGCTTAAAAATAACAACGCGCATAGCTGTGGTGCGGAGGCGCGGGCTGCACGGGCCAATCCGGGGCTACCCAGCGCTAGCCGGGCTCCCTCCGGAGACCCGCTGCGTCGTCCCCGCTAGCCCCAAATGGGGCAATGACGCCCACGCCCAAAGCATGTGCTTGGCCAAGCACTGTGAAAATGATTTCACTCCGAATGCGATTACATGTTGTTTCCCATTAAAGTATATTGTAAGGAACGCATGATAAGGGGACGACGAACCTAAGACGTAATATTGCCGATAAAAGTAAGTGGTATTTGGGCGGGACACTTCGCGAGACGGGATGACGGGCGAGACCGTCGATGGGATGGCAGGCGAATGAGGGAGCACGTCCAAGAGGATGACAAACGCGGAGGCGGAGCGACGAGATTGGCTTCATGTGCAGGAGTGAGACGGATGGTAGCGGCAGCAATGAAACGCAAAGTGACAGCATGGGGAGGCCTTCATCCAGCAGTGGCGTGATGTTAACTACCTCGCCTGGTATGCAGGAAGTCGTGGGTTCGATCCTGACCCTGACACCTCTCTCCCCGTGGTTGCGTGGATTTTTCTCTGGGTCCTCCTCCGGTTTTTCCCTCCACATTTAAAAATCGACATCACGCGTTTAGAGTATTTGGCTGCTAGAAATTTCCACGCGATGATGATATCAGCCGAAACTTCATTGAGCTATCATTTGTGAGAGCCAGGTCGCTTCCAAAAAAGAGCTATTATAGCTCAGTGGGGCCTTATACCTGGTGAAATAAAAAGTTTAGTTTTTTTTCAGTGGATGAACAATGTCTGATCGTGATGATGATGAATATATACATAAGAGGTTTTTTGGGTTTGATCGCGTGGATATAAATATCATATTATTGGTTCTTTCGGTAAAGTCACGTAGAAGGGAAACAATAAAATAAAAAAACAACTGCCAAATCGCTCTCCGTGTTGCTAACGTTAAGAAAAAACCGCCACTTTTTTCAAATTTTCTTGCTGTGGTTTTCACACCTGATGATATTGCTTGTGTTGCAGTCGAAACGTTGTGAGAATTGTATTGTTTTATATTTTTATTATTTTATTGTTTCCCTTCTACGTGACTTTACCGAAAGAACCAAGAATATGAATCCCTGCAGTCACGAAATCTGTTAAATAAAAATATATAAATGTCGATAAAACCTGCCGTCATCCAACACAGCCAATTAGTAAGGTTTGTCACGGAATCAAAATATGCCAATTCCACGATCTAAACCAAAAACAAATCTCTACTATGGATCATATTCATCGTGAAAGCCCACGTGTTTAAACTATTAATTTATTTACGCTTCCTATGTGAATACCGCCCAAGAGACACACCGGCATGGGACAATCGACTCGCTGCACTTGAGAAGCCGGTTTTAGTCACGGGCGGATTGCAACCCAAGACATCAACGGTGCCAGCTCAGCGGCCTTGACCTCCGAGTTCAATCACCGCGAAAGTTAACGCGGGAGCATCATTTGCGCTTCATCGTCTCGACACGATCTTTTGCACAGCAGGTTTGGCGCCCGTTTTCATTTCATTTCCCGCTCGTAATGTGCCTGCGTCCATCCCATTACCGCAAAATCGGCCGCGTGTTCCGCGCGAGCCGAATTGTTATCCCGAAGCGGAGGTGGCTCGGAGGTCGGCGTGCCGAGCTAGCACTGCGACGAGCCTGGGTTCGAATCCGGGTTTTCGGTTGAAGCCGCCGCAGCCGCCTGTGATCTTACACTGGGTACTAATGAGCAGTGAGTTGATGGCCTCAGTCTTGAATGTGAACAGATAAAAACCTATCACGTCAAATTTGGTTCTCCGATGAGTTTGGCTCATTTCTAAAATACCGGTTTGACAGTCACGCGACAAATATTAATCTCTGCAGCAAGGCACGCTGGAAAAGTGCTGCTGCTCTCCCTCTGCTGCAAGGACTGGAGGTCACTTATTTATACTGCAGGAGGAATCCGATGAGCTATTAAGCTCTTTTTGACAGACGTTACAACACCAAACAATACAACAACACGATAGTGCAAAGTACAAGAATGGTTAACAAATCACCCAAACAGACAAATACAACAACTAAACCATCCCCATCCTACCAGGCAGAGCCCACGAAGGTATTAACTTGTTTTCCAGAAGCAACCTGGCCACAAATGATAGCTCAACAAAGTGGCTTACCTTGTGTAAATTTAAAGCAGCAAAATCGAAATAAACCTCAATGTACTGTTTCTAAATGTGGATGGAAAAACCGGAGGACCCGGAGAAAAAACATCCACATGACTACGGGGAGAGAGAGAGACATGCAAACTCCAAATATAGAGCAGGCATCGAACCCACGACTTGTATACAAGGCGAGGTAGTTAACATCTCCTAGCCACCGTGATGAGAGAGAGACAGGCAAACTCCAACTATACAGCAGGCGTCAGGGTCGGGATGGAACCCACGACCTCCTGTATACCAGGCGAGGTAGTTAACATCTCCTAGCCACTGTGATGACGACGAGAGAGAGAGACACGCAAACTCCAAATATACAGCAGGCGTCAGGGTCGGGATGGAACCCACGACCTCCTGTATACCAGGCGAAGTAGTTAACATCTCCTAGCCACCGTGATGAGAGAGACACGCAAACTGCAAATATACAACAGGCGTCAGGGTCGGGATGGGAACCCACGACCTCCTGTATACCAGGCGAGGTAGTTAACATCTCCTAGCCACTGTGATGACGACGAGAGAGAGAGAGAGACACGCAAACTCCAAATATACAGCAGGCATCAGGGTCGAGATGGAACCCACGACCTCCTGTACACCAGGCGAGGTAGTTAACATCTAGCCACCGTGGCGCTCCAAAGGATTGTAGCTTCTGCCTTCTAGTATTGGGGGTCTTGCATCCCAAGGGTTAAGCAATAACAACCATTCAAGCACACACACAAAACACGGAAACTCCAAATATACAGAAGGCGTCGCATTAACTGTTGAGAAAAGTGACCTGGCGTGGGCAACGCGAGGCCGCCGCTAGGAAAAAGCGATGGGCGGTGGGGCGAGATTGATGATGGACTGACAGCCGAAGTCTGGCACAAGCGCCGCGGTTGACATCACCGCCGCTTTGTGGTGATGAATGGTGGCTGTTGTTGCGTGGGGAGCCGTGGTGTTGGTGTGGTGGTTTGCCAAACCAGCCCCGGTGCACGTGGGTTCGATTCCCGGCTACAGCTCGCATCGGTGCAGATACACGTGGTATCTTAAAGAAGCCCCGGATCTCTCCTGTGTCAACTCAGTCCTTAAATGAATTCCCAGATGTTCAGTAGGGGCGGGTCAGAAAGTTACAACAACAAAAATACAAAAAAACACGATGGGAGTGCAAAAACAGGGATGGTATGAAAATCACCAAAAAAAATGTTAAACTCATTTAATATTACCAGGTAATGCCCACTAACCCTTTCCTGTTCCGAGACGTCTCCAAGTTGCACGGTCCGGCGTCCCGTTCACCGCTGAATCTCGGAACGTGCGAACGGTTCAGCGTAAATCTTATTTAGATAGGCGTAGTAACAGCACCTGGAGAGAACTGCAGCGACACGACCACCGCACTACTACGATAGCAGGCGTCACAACTGTGCCGCACGCCCTCCCGCACGGCCTTGTGGGAGCCTTGGTACGTATGAGGTCACGTACGTCATCGGAACGGAATCAGAGGGAAAACTGATGACGTGCACGTACGCACGTCATCGGAATGGGAAAGGGTTAAATGACGCCGAGAGCACAAATCGGGATAGGATTTGGCGAAGGCCACCAACAGAAATAAAGAAATTAGAGTGAAATGCAAACACGACGGCACCTTCAGCGCCTGCAGGGAGAAGCCGTTGGTGAGCTCCGCGGCCCGATCGAGAATCGCCGTCTCATCTCGCAGCTCCGCGCCGACGCCCACCGTGGCCCCACAGTGGAGCTCCATGCCCAGGCCCAGCTCCGCGAGGGGGACCGCGCACAGGTAGTTGGTAACATTGTCTGCCTCCGCGTCCAAAGGGCACGTGCACGAGTCGAGTCAAGGCAGTGATACCAACAGTTCATCTGTACCATCATCACCGTCATCGGGCAGTGATCTTATCCGCTGCTGGACGAAGGCGATCTTTCTATTGAAGCCGTCACAATCTCCCACGATCCATCTTAGCTCCCACGCACGAGATGATATCACCGCTCCATCGTCGGGGCAGTGTCAGCCTGGCGGGCGTGTTCCCGCCTTAAGACTGCCACTCACTGGTAAGTTCTCAGCCATCATCTCTCACGGTGCTGCGGTAATAACAATAACGTTTGGGTCCTCAGGTGTCGTTGCTGGCAACAGGAGACCCCCCCCCTCTCTGTGCAGGCCACCGTCAATCGCCACACTTCAATTTAGAGCACTGCCCTCTTAGGGAAGACTTTCGGGAAGACGCAATTCAAAATACCCGGCCGCCCTCTCTCTCGAGAACAGCTGACGTCGCCGTCCCAGCGAACGTTCTTCGCTGTCGCGGGTTACCCTGGGCTCTAGAGCTCCCATCCAGCTGCCCTCTCTTCCTCTCTTACCGTGCATCCTCACCCTCACCTCCCTCACCCTCACCAGCGTAAACGTCACCCTCTTTTCACCCTCCTCAGCCCTGTCTCTCTGCCCCTGCAAAGTGCCACGACAAAGATCCCCTATGCAGCCATAACAAGTTCTTAGGGCAAGTGCTGTTAGCGAGTAGCACCTATGAAGGCCGGAACGGCACAAGAGGGGGTGGGTGGCCAGCTACCACGCTCGACCGCCTTTGTCTCCCCCAGTGGCGATGTTTACAACACACTACACGAGGTACTCATTTGAGGCCGAGTCGACCTAGGGGAGGCCCAGGACCGGTTCAGATAATTATCGTCACTGGTGTTGGTCGTGAGCGGGAATGGAACTCCGGGTTCGTAGCGCAGAGCTCTAACCGCTACTACACTACCGCTCCCCATGACACACAGGTACCCACAGATGATCTAGAAATTGCAGTTGTATAGGGAGGTGGCTGGGTGGCTTAGAGGTCAGAGCGCTGAGCTGGCATCGTTGAGATCCAGGGTTTTAATGCAGCAGGCTTCAGTTGCCCGTTATTAAACTGGGTTCACAATTACAGCAAGTTCAAGGTCTCAGCACGGACATGTCTCACACAGAGACCCATAGAGTTACACAGAGATCTACAGACTTAAAGATGACCAGTAGGATGCACATAGGCACTCGCAGGCTTGTATAATGACTTACCTAGAGGCCAATAGATTGGCATACATCAAGTTAGCATTAAACTGGGTTCTGAATAACAATGAGTTGATGATCTCAACCCAGTCACCAATGACTGCACAAAAAACTCATCGCGTAACGATTTGGTGTCTGCGCTTAATTTGGCTAAATTCTCGATGTAAATTACAAATATCTTCGTTACTGTCACGCAACATTAATATATTACTCCCTCTGGTAGGATGGATGGGTAGAGTGTTGCTTACTCGCGCTGTGTAGTGCAGAGGTCACTTGAAGGGATCTCAGACGTAGCTCTGTGATATCCCCTTCTGTGGGCCATTCTCTAACAAAGGAGGGTCACACTGCTCTGTGAAGGATTCATCCGTGTCATGACCGATAGCGCAACGGGGTTTCAGGTCTGGGAGGAGCAACATCGTGGAACTGAACAGTAGTTGCTTTGTGTCCTGCCATCTGTGCACACTCGCGCATCACACTGACTCGTGTCTCTTGCCCCTGCGGCGAGTTAGGCCATGAAACGTTGTCAACAACAATCCTTGGCTAACAAACCCATCTGACCGCCAGAATGAACGAACTCAAAGGGACTTTTCGCTGCCCGCCACCTTGGATGAACGTCGCATTGCGCAAGGCGCAACTTCTCAAGAGCCAAGAACCCGCAAAACCACAACAGAATCGCAACAGGATCCGTTAAACAAGTGAGGTCAGCACGCCATGCAAGAGCCCACGTGCTCAGATTTCCAGAAAACATATTTTTCTCTCTCGGTCTTCAGATTTTTTTTGTTATATATCTAGCTCTTGCTGTGCTGCTACTGTGTCTCGAGGCCTCTGAACGATCTCTCTCTCTCTCTCCCTCCATCTCTCCCCCCCCCCCTCTCTTAGCCACATCCGCTTCGTAGCTCTCCTGCTGCGTGCTTGTCAGGTTGAGTACCCGAGCGGCTGTTCGCAGCGATGTCCAAATTTATCTCCCGAAGAAGCTGCCGGCGCGTGGAGCGAAACGTCCGACACGGGGGGGTTACAAACCGCGAACCCATCGATCACCGAGCTCGAATGGCACAACCACAAAAAACCTCCAGAAAAATCGCCCCATCGCTCCCTCCCCTGCACCCCCCTGCCCCGCCTGCCAAAGGCCGTAAACCTCCGAACCCAAATTGAAAACATCTTAAGACAAAAAATATCCAGAAAAACAAGAATCCAGACGCAAGGTCGCAAGAGTTCACAGGAGCGTCGTCTCTCCCTGTTTGTTGCTCAGTTAAAAGGCAGCTGGATTTTTTTTAATGGATCAATAACATACCAATAACTATTTTTTTATTATAACACGTTATACGCGTCCCTAATAATTTACAGCCCTCGTCAATCGTCTTTCAAATGAGGGCCTCCCCACGGAATAGGGGTCTCGGGGGGGGGGGGGGGGGTTACTAGACATTGCTTCACCGTGCTGGTTAGTGAGTTAGTGAAGGGATGGGGGGTGACGAGGGGTTACTAGACATTGCTTCACCGTGCTGGTTAGTGAGTTAGTGAAGGGGGGGGGGGGTTACTAGACATTGCTTCACCGTTCTGGTTAGTGAGTTAGTGAAGGGACGGGGGGGGGGGGTTACTAGACATTGCTTCACCGTGCTGGTTAGTGAGTTAGTGAAGGGATGGGGGGGGTTACTAGACATTGCTTCACCGTGCTGGTTAGTGAGTTAGTGAAGAGACGGGGGGTGACGGGGGGGGGGTTACAACAATGCTTTTGCTGCTCTGCTCTCTGCTGCTCGCAACGGAGCTGTGCGGCAGCTTATCAACACATGCTTTACGCACAGGGTGGTCCGCCCCACACCCAAAAAACCATCTGGCACAATCCTGCTTTTTAGCTCTCGAGATAGGATGAGATCAGGCGCATTCCGGTAGGTTTGGTCATCGGCAGCGTGACGTTACTGTTGGCCATCGATTATCCGGCACCGCCCGATTATCCGGTTGCTTTCGACATTATCCGGCGGTCCCGGGCTGATCCGGCGAAACCGTTCCAAAGGCTCTAACTAGTCCGGCGATCGGCATCACGTAGCGTGCACAAGACAGGCAGCTACGCTTGATTTCATTGTCAAAAATATATGGTACATTATACACTACATACAACTTAAACAATGAAACTACTGCACGTATATACATCACTCCATGATGCAGTCTTTGAGATTGGAGTGGTAAGTACAGTCCAGTAAATACAGTAACTTTTTAAAAGTAAGGATATTTATTTGTATCTATTTGTATGTTTATTCAAGCCAATTTCACATAGTAAACAAATTTAAAGCACTAAAATATATATAACATCTGAAAACATACAAGAATGTGCAACAATAAGCTATTTTCAATAATGATGATTCGTGATTATCCGGCGTTTTAGAAAATCTGTTACCTCCCCCTCCGAAGCTGCCAGATAGTTGATGATCTACCGTATATTGGTATAATCCCCAATGGCTTGCCAGGAAAGTGCAAACCAGTCATAAGTCTTCTTTTCTGGAGGGTCTTGCCACATCGGGATGTTTTTACCCCAACCGTGCATGCCGCTGTCACAAGCCTGGATGCCGACCGTGTGTTTCAAGTGAAACGAGGACGTGCGGCATTGTTGCTGCCGTGATCATCTCCGGGGAAAGGTACGCAAAACAAAAGTGGGCTTGGGTCAGGGATGATGGGACGATGGTCAAGATTATTGAGGGAGTGGAAGCCAAGGAACGGAACACGTGTCCGAGATAACATCAATGGAGAGCTGGAGTGATGAAAGCAGCTCGTGTACAGGCGATAGGTAGATGATTTGGGGGGGGGGGGGGGGAAAGAGGCCTTCATCCAGCAGCAGAATGATCATAGCTGCCGGCGACGACGATGAACCGTCAACTGGCTGGGCGCACACGGTGTGACACGAGAGCCGCAAGGCAGACAAAAGTTTCCGCAGGCAAAAACAACGGCGCAAGCAAATCTGAGACGCGTAAAATAATTCGGCGTTGCGAATCAAATCGCAACGCCCCACCCCCGAATCGCGACGATCCATCGATCGCATTGCCGGCAGCACCCTCTCGAGCGCCAGCGGTCAGCGCGCATCGCTCCCTCGCGGACGCCGACGTCACAGGGGCCAAGGCTGCCGCCCCCCCCCCGCCCCCCGCCCCAACGCCGCCACAGGGCCCTGGCCGCTCACGTGTCAGCTCGCATTAAGGGGCGGCGTGGGCGGAGGCGGCAGCGGCTGCGTCGCTTCCCAGGCGCAGCTATTTCCAGAAGCCGCAGCTTCCCCCCGCGGTATTTATAAACAACGAGGCGGAGTGGGGGCCTTCGGCACCGCACGGACAGAGACGCAAGGGGCACGGACGGCATGGGGGCGCGCGCAGCCGATTGGTTCCACATTGACCGGCATCGTTTGTTAAAGTTTGAGTGGGCAACCGAAGATAATAATTATCATAATTATCACGGGCGAAGAGAGGGCGCGGCGGTTGGCGCGCCGCGCAGCAAACCCGGCGACCTGAGTTTGAGTCTCATGCATCGCTAACTTCGGGAGTGAACGATATCAGAACCGGTCCCAACTGGCTAAAGGCTGCGAGGTGGTCAAGACGATGACGGCAAGCGCAGCTGTGGTTGTGCGTGGATATTTTAAATGTTACCCCATCATGTGTGGGTGGTGCGTTTTTTTTTTCTTTGAGATACTACCGTATCCTCCCACAAAAAACAATAATAAATCATTCATGCAATTGACCAAACATCCCAATGTGGCAGGACCCTCCTGAGAAAAATAGTCTTGAGACTCACTTCGGACCATTCTGGGAAAATGAA